AGCCCCGGGGACCCCGTGCGGTGGCCGCGGCAACGGCAGGGGAGGGCGGCGGGGCCCGGTGGGGGGGTGGCAGAAACGGGGGGACGAGCGGGGCTCGCTCCCCCCCCACCCCTCGGGCACAGGCTCCGGGGATGCCCCGTCCCGGAGCTGCTTTCCCGGGCGGGCAGGGACCGACCTCACCTCCAGCATCGCCCCCGAGCCCTGCTCCTCTGGTTGTTGCCCCTTCCCTGGGTGCTGGGACCATTCCTGCCTGTTGGGGTTTGCTAGGGAAGCAAAAGGCTCCTTCAAAAGGAGGTCTGAGCGGGATGAGGGCGCTGATCTCTCGAGTAACGTGACAGGACAAGGGGAAATGGCCTCAAGTTGTCCCGGTGGAGGTTTAGGTTGGATATTAGGGAAAAAATTACTTCACCAAGAGAATTGTCAGGGCCTGGCACAGGCTGCCCAGGGCAGTGGTGGAGTCACCATCCCTGGAAGGACATAAAAACCATGTCGATGTGGTGCTGAGGGACATGGTTTAGTGGTGAACTTGGCAGTGCTGGGTCAGTGTTGAGGCTCGGTGGTTTAAAGGTCTTTTCCAACCGAAGCGATTTGATGCCTCCATGAAGTGCAGCTCTGTCAGCTCCAGGTCCCCACTCTCTGATCTCCAAGTGCTGTGTAGCTCAGATGAAAGGTAAAAAGCACCAACTAGGCAGTTAACAACCTGCTCACTAATTATTTACATCCCACCTGCTTGTCTCTGGCTGCCTATGTAAGCATGACAGTGTCTGTCCCCATCCCTTGTCACGCCCCCATCTGTGGTCCTGAAGCTTTGTTTGTTAAGGCACCTTGTTTTGGAAGGTTGTCTAAATGTAAGTATCTAACTGCAGGAAGGAGCTCAACCCCTGAGGCAGCCCTGGCTGGGCTGGAGGATCTGCTCCAGGCCCTGGTGAGGGGCACAGAGCCCAGCAGAGATAGTCTTGACACAGTGCAGCTGGGCAGGGCTCTGTGGTGAGATCTGCTGTGGTTGGGGCTGCAGGGAATGGTGAGCAGGGCACTGGGGCCAGGTTTTGCTGTCTCACAGCATCCCAGGATGATTAAAGGTCTGCTGGGACTAGCAGGGCTGAGGGAAGGTGCTAAGAGCACCCCTCTCTGTGTGTGCTGACCCCAGAGGGCTCATAAAACATCCCTTTGAACCGTAAAAATTGGAGGAGGATGGAGAAGGCTTGGAGGGAGAAAGGGAAACTTCTCTTCTAGAACAAACCCTGTGGCTCCCAGCACAGCAGATCTCTCTGTTTCAGCCGCCTCTGCACAGCCCAGAGTCTCTAGCTGTTAATGATGTGTTTTCCTTTGTCCTTAAGGAACCTTTCCCACACACAGCTCAGCCTGGTGCTCCTCTGCTCTTGCTTTCCCATTAGCCCCAGCCCTGTTTGTTGGGGCCATGCTGGTCCAGGCTCAGGGCTGGGTGCTGCTGGGCTGGCTTTGTTCAGCTGGAGCAAGGGGAGGAGGAATCTGCTCCCTTTGTCTGGCTGCAGCACAGCTGGGGGCTGAGCCTTTGCTTTTTCCCTCCAGAAAGGCTGAAACATAAAGAAGCAGTTGGATAAAGCAGCGTCATGGGAATAAACCTGCTCTGGGGCTTAATGAAGAGATGTCAGGGAGTGAGGACAAGGCTGGGGGGAGAGGATCAGTGATCAAAGCTGAGGATGTGCCCAGAATGTAGAGAGGGACAGAAGGAGGAGCCCTCTGAGTTGCAGCAGTACTTGCATTGCACCCCAAAAATGGCTCAGTTAGGGCCATTCCTGATCCCCATGCCCTCCTGGACCCCTCTGCTATTGCTCAGCTTCTCTGGGGGCTCATTCATGCTCCTCTGGACCAAGGGCATCTCCCTTGTGGGGATGAGGGATGCCCAGCAATCCACGGCAAGTTGTTGGGCAGCACTGGGTTATTTACAGTCACTTCTATGCTCATCAAAGACTGGAGAAGGTTCTGTGGGACCCCAGCAACAGCCACGTTCTTGGAGCCCTTCCCTTGGCTTGTGGGAAATCCCTTCTAGTGGGTTGAGATTCCCTCCTGCAGCTGGGGAAATCCTCCAAGCTTTCATATCACCTCTACGAGCTGGGTAGTGGCATTCCCTAATTCCAGCCTGCTGGCAGACACGAGCTGGGGGATTAAGCCTCTCCACAGATAGTTCTCACAGCTGCACCTTGAATCCTGCCCTTCTGTGCTGCGGGAAGCAGGAGGCTGCAGGAGATCATCTGCTTCGGTTTGAAACGAGGGGCTGTGCCTGCCCTCGGGGGGCTGGGGAGGGGGAGCCAGGGCTGGGGAGGTGAATCTGTGTGTAGGGTTGGTTTGGTTTTAAGCAGCGCTACGTGTTGGGGCATGACGGGCTCCCGGTGTCCTCCCGGTGCTCTCAACAGCAGATGGCATCCATGGGCTGAGCACAGGCCGGGCTGCACCTCCCGGCAGGAATCCTGCTGGAGCTGTGCGGGGGGATGGCGGGCTGGCTGCGGCACCCCAGGCTGTGCAGGGATCCTGGCTGGAACCGTATCCAGCAAGTAACTGGATGTGAAAGGGACATGACACGTCTCTTTGTTCCCCTAAAGAGGCATTGCCTGCGAGCCCACATACCTCGCAGTAGTTCTGATGGACTGGAATTCTCTTCTCAGATCCCCCAGCCTGGAATGTCTTTGGGGTTGAATCCTTCTCTTGCTCCCCCTGCTGCAGAGTTTCTTTCCTCAGGTGTGTGTTGCACACGCGTTTCAGCAGACAATGCCGAGTGCTTCCATCTTTGGCACCGATACTTGCTGGATCTCATTGTGCCTGGAGGGACAAGGTGAAGGCTCAGCTGGGAGGCTGAGCCCGGGGCAGCTGCAGGTTCATCCCACGGGCTGTGCCCAGGGCTGGGTTGGTCCTGTGTACATACCTGTCAGCCACTGTCACCTCCAGCAGGCTCTGCTGTCTGAGCCACCACTGTGCCACTCCGGGAGCTCTCAGGGAGGTACATGCATGAATTCACAGGTTGTCCCAGCTCAGTGGTGACAGACACATCAGGTCCTCCCCCTTATCTAATCGTTCCTCCCTGCTCTGTTCTGGTTGCCAGGCCTGGAGTCACTCCTGCTCACAGAGGACCTTCTGGCCTCAGCCCTGGTGTGTTGGGCAGGGTTTCCCAAGGCCAACTTAAAACTAACTTGTGTTTGCTTTTCAGGGACAAGGAAGGCACTGAACTGTCCACCTTGTCTTACAAGGGGAGGATGCCCATGTCTGTCTGACACTGAAAACCAACATAGATGCCAATTCCAGAGTGTCTTTAAGGTGTGTGCTGAGATCTTAGCCCAGGGGAAGACCTGGTGATGCCCAAGCACATGTGCTGAACTTGGCCTTTAAATTGCTGTAATCACAGGGGATGGTGGCCCAAAGGGAATCTTTTAGAAATAAAGCAAATTGATATCAAATAACTGGGTTTCAACCCAACTTTCTTTCCAACACAAGTTGTAAATTTGACCTGCCTTGGAGAGTTGCTGTCAGCAGCCTTGAGAAGGGGTTGGCAATTGTCTGCAGGATTTGGTGTTTATTTTTTCCCAACGTATGTGCTGGATCTCACAGGGCCTTGCCTTGAAAGGGGATCACGTTTCAGTACAGCGAGTGCTTTGAACACTGCACTGTGGTTTTCTTCCTTACTGATCTCCAGCAGATCGTGTCAGTCAGTTCCTCCTGTCCCCAGGGAGCTGCGGGCTGGTCCCTCTGACCCAGCCAGCCCTGGGCTTTCCCAGGAGCCCGGTACCCACCAGCAACCTCCTCTGCACCCACAGCCTCTTCTCCTTGACCCTGAAACCCAGCTGAGCTCCTGTCGTTTTCCAGCTGCCCAGTGGGGCTCAACAAATCTCTGGCTGCTGCCGTGTCCTCGCCTGACCTCCCGGTGCTCTGAGCTGTGTTTTCGGCCAGCCAGGCTTTTCAGCACCACTGCTGGTGGCTGCCCTGACACAGCAGCACCGAGTGGGCTGGGGGCTGGTGGCCCTCCTGCCAAAAAGCATCGCCCCTCATTGTCCCCGAAGAGCCTTTGTCTGCATAAACAGGAAACTGCCTTAGAACAACCTTTGCCAGAGCGGGTTCTGGAGCAGAAGTTACTCCTGTGTCTTGCCATGGGCCTGTAACATGCACAGCAAAGCGCTGCTGGGCTGGTTGTGGCCATCAGGGGAGATGTTCTTTGGGATCTGTGCTGGCCTTTGGCCACCAGTTGCCCAACACTTCCCAAAACGGGACCCAACGTCGCTGTGTGCGAACGCTGCCCTACAGCTCCAGTTCCTAATTTATTTGGATAGCTGGGAATAGAGCTGCTGCAGCAGCACTGGGAGACACCAGAGCCCCTCTGTCCCTGCTGCTAGGTCTCCAACCCTGAGGGGACACCAGCCACTGAGTCACAGCCAAGCCAACCCCAGACAAACCCCCACCATCAGCATCCGCCTGTAAAGGAAGCCCAGTCACTACCCTGAGACAGACACTTCCTGCCTTGGGAAGAAAAGCTCCAGCTTTTTTTTTTTGGAGAGTTTGCTTATTGTTTTTAGAAATGCCTCAGCATTTCTGCAGCCCCACGTGCTGCTGTGGCTGTGACCCTCCCTTGCTGTCACCTTCCAGTGCCTGGGAGCGTACAGCCTGTTTGGTCTGTGGTAGGGGAACCCTAGATGAGATGGTATATTAGAAGAACCACATGTATAATCATGTGTTATAATATTTTCTCTGTGTATACTGGTTGTAAGTGGGGGCTTCAACCACAGGGACTGACCTATATTGTGGTGGTTGGGTACTGCTGTTTTGGCTTTTAATCAAGGAACTTTCAGATTAAAGTGCAATTCAGACCACTGTACAACTCCTATCTGTAGCAATTTCTTAGGTAAATACTGTAGAATATCAAAGATCATGTTATCACCTGATAACATGACAATTAAATCTCCAGAGAAGATAAGTGCACATTTTCAAGCAGCCGGTTCCGGGGTTACTACAGTTTGGACTAAAAAGCTCTTCAGTCTGTTGGTAAAAGGGGCATGTGTGTCACAGACCCCTCCTGGCTCCCTCCACACCAAGGCCCTGGGGCCTCCTGGGGTCCCAGTGAGCAGGACACCAGCCTGGGAGCCTGTCCTTCCCTGGGGGCTGCACCTCAGCAGGGCTGTGCACACCCTGCCCACAGCCTGGGTCACTCCTGGGACAGTTTTGCTTTCCTCTTCTCCTGGCTGTGCTTCACCACTCACCCTTCCACACACACAGCCCCTCAGAGAGCAAGGATCTGTTGGTTTTTTTCCTACTCTCTCTAGCTGAATAAGACATTATTTCTGCTTTCTCCAGCTATGATCTATCCTTGCTGTGACATGTCCCTTATCTCCACAGCTCCATGTGACAGGGAGCTCCTTGCTCTGCCCACCCTGGCAGTGATCAGGAAGGTTGGCAGGACCCGGGTTCACCAGCACCACGGTGCAAACTTCAACAGGTCAGTAGGGTTTTTGCAAAGTGATCCTTACAAACGACTAGCCTGGGCATGAAACCTGCCCCACCAAGTAGTTATCAAGCTGGAAAAAACGAGCTGGGCTTTACCCAGAGTGGGTGGGTGGGTGGATGGATGGATGGAGGCTGCAGGCTGGTGTGATCCACAGCTGTGGTGGAAGTGAGGTGCAGAGGTGGCCTCTGCTGCAATCATTAGATGTGATAGGCCATAAATTACTTTTCCAAAAGGCTCCTGTTGACTCTAATGTGTTTCCCTTCTTCTGCTGATGGATGTGGCACCCAGTTGGGAGGATCAGAGCAAAACCAGTTTCCTTGGTGTTTTCTGAGGGTGAATGGGTTTCCCACCTGCCTGAGCACCCCCCAGCAGCAGGTGAGGAATTGCTGCCAGCTGACAACACTAAGGAGAGGTGATCATTAAGCTTTTTGTTGCCTTTGGTATTCTAATGCCCAGCAAATCTCTCCCTTTCCCTCTTGGAGGGCCCACTGCTCTAAGTGTATCTTCTGGGGAAAGTTTATTCCTTTACCAGTCCCCAAGCAGAGCTGAGCACCCCGTGGCCACCCCAGGCTGATGACAGAGCTGTAGGTTTTGCCCGGGATGTGTTCAGCACTGAGGTCTTGCTGTGGCATTTATTGTAGAACAAGAAACAAATAACTACCAAGCGAGGAGCCTGCAGGGAAACTGAGCTCCCGTTAGGGCAAACACCGAGCTGATCACACTACCTGGGAGCAGGGTTACCTGACATGGAGCCAAATTCCTTGTTGACTTTCATGTCGGTTTTAGCAGCCAGGCACTGGGGCCCGTGGCACAAAGTGTTGGAGAAACCCCCAGTGAGGATTTCTGAGGCTGCAGTGGGGGAGGCAGGGGGGAATTTCAGGGGATTTCACCACTGCCAAGGAACCAGTAGCAATCCTGCTACAATAGAGGATCCTTATCAGTGGATTCCAGTGGACTTAGAGCTGTGTCCCTTGACATTTCCATTAAAATAGGCTTCCTGAGCCAGCCTAGAACAAAAGCATACCTAAGCCTACCTATCAACACAGAAAATTGCAGAGAAGAATTTGTCTGGTAGGAACAGAAAGAGGAGCTGGCCAAGGCTCCACTTCCTTTCATCATGGGGAAAGCCTCTGGAAAGCATCCTTGTAAATCAACAGGAGTATTAAACATGTGCTTGAAGTTAAATGTGTGCTCAAGTGCCTTCTTGGACCGGTGGGTTAAACCACGAGTGGTGGCAGAGTTGTCAGCAGCATTTCTTGCAGCATCCAGGGAGACACAGACACTTTCATCTTAGACAAGTGAAATGGCTTTGTTTGTTGCAATCAGGTAGGTTTGTACCTTCTCCCTTCAACCCTTCTGCAATCTCTGGGCTGTGCCTGAACAGGATCCTATCTGTTTACTTTGACATTGAAATTACAGCAGTTTAGTTAATCTCATCTACGCCTTGTTTATCTTCCCTATGGGCCCTGCTGGCTGGTTGCAAAGTGAAGTGCAGCTCCTGTTACTGCACAGTAAATAATTCATTATTGCAAGTCAGCTTCAAGTGTCTTCCTCGGTCATTCCCCCCACGCTGGTGGGAGATCATTCATTCTAAAACGAGGAGAGAGACTGGTCTGTGTGTTAGTGTGTTCAGCCCAGGGGGGAGGTGTGAGGGTGGAAGGGATGCAGGACCAGGCTGAAGCTCCAAGAAGTTGTTCATCCCTGAGGAGTGGAGGTGCCACAAGGTCACTGGCAATAGAAGTCAGGGATATTGGTGGTAAAAGATACCTGAGTCTTAACTGGGTCAAAATAGTCTGTGATATGCAGCCCTTCACAGAGGAGCAGGAATTTGGTGCCTCCACAAAATGGACTTGAGTGTTGCTCCAACTACCCTGCAGGGTCAGTGTCCTCCACAGTCACTCCATAATCCCAGTACCCAGAGTGCAGGACCAGCACAGGGACCACAACACCTGCCTGGGTCTCCTCCTGAGCCAGCACAGAGAGGTGCTGAGCTGTGGCACAGCTCTGTCCTGTGCCACTGCTGTGCTTGGGGACACAAAGCCTGCAGAGAGGGGACAGTCCTGGATT